GTGACAGGCTGGGTCCTGCCAGCTACCAGTGCTGGCCACTGGCCTGGTGCATCTTTCCTTTTTTTATTTTTTAATTATTTGTAGAGACAGGGCTTCCCTGTGTTGCCCAGGCTGGGCTCAAGCGATCCTCCCATCTTGGCCTCAGGCATGAGCCACCACACCCAGCCTCCTTTTTTTAAAAATAAAAACTTTTGGAAATTGTCAAAGAAATGCACCAGCAGAATCGTGTGAAGAATCCTGCACGCAGCTCCCAGGAGTCTGTGGCCAGCCTGGTTTGAAGTCTACTCCCCTTCCTCCCCAGCTCTGTTATTCAGAGTTGGATCTCAGCCACCCTGCCATTCCCCAGCACTTTGTCAGCATACCCGCAAATGTGGCCACGCCTTAAACTCACAAAACAGCCACTCAAGCTTCAAACTTCCCAACTTTCCTATTTTGTAAAAGACATTGGTTTATTCAAATTGGGGCCCCGTGGGGTCTGTGCACAGCGACCTGCTGTTGCTGCCTCAGTTTCTCTCTGGGAGCACGAGGGCATTCGCAGTGCAACAGCAGGGAGCGACAGGGTCGGGCTCAGAAGCAGACAGTCCAGCCACACCGGGAGAAACTGAGCCCTCAGAAGATCAACCGGCCGCGTGCAGGAAGCTGCCAGAGAGCTGCCGCTTCAGTTAATAAAGGGGGTTTTTGTTTAAGAAATAAAAAGAAATGTTTGCGAGACTCCCGGGTCTTCCAGCAGTGATTCTCAGATTTGAGTACCAGAGCTACCTGGAGGCTTGGAGAAAGGGGGCACCCTGGGCCCTGCCTTGGAGTTCCGGCTCAGCAGGGGTGAGGTGGGGATGACGCTGAGCAGCAGGGGTGGGGTGGGGACAATGCTAAGCAGGCAGTCCAGGGGCCACATCTTGAGATGCTCAGTGTCACAGGCACTTCAGGAACATATCTGTGACTAAAGTTTAGCAATGGTGTCACCTAGAACACGAGAAGAACTGCCTTGTGGGTTTTTAAAGATTAAAGAACCAAAATCAGCGTGCCTGGCATGTGGTAGGCATATCTATCGCTCTATGCAGGAGGCACCTATGTTGCTACGAAGATGGCTTCAGCACCCACCTGGTGGCAGCATACGCAGGTGGCGGCACAGATGCGGGCTCTGAGGGTCTGTGACAGCACCCACCTCAGCCCTTTCAAGGGGTGAGGAGGGCCCAACACGGGAAAATGGATAGGAAACAAGACATGGGGTGAAGTCTGGCCGGGCGCGGTGGCTCACACCTGTAATCCCGGCACTTTGGGAGGCCGAGGCAGGCGGATCATGAGGTCAGGAGATTGAGACCATCCTGGCTAACACGGTGAAACTCCGTCTCTACTAAAAAAACAAAAACAAAACAAAACAAAACAAAACTAGCCGGGCGAGTTGGCGGGCTCCTGTAGTCCCAGCTACTCGGGAGGCTGAGGCAGGAGAATGGCGTAAACCCGGGAGGCGGAGCTTGCAGTGAGCTGAGATCCGGCCACCGCACTCCAGCCTGGGCAACAGAGCGAGACTCTGTCTCAAAAAAAAAAAAAAAAAAAAAAAAGACATGCGGTGAAGTCCTGGGCTGGGGGAAACACAAAGCCCCAAAAGCTTGGCGGGGCAGGACGGCCTGCTCTGACCTGTGCCCTTCAACCACGTTAAAAGAGCCCAGGACAGACTGGGAGGGGCAAGAGGAGGGTGGCTTGGGGCAGTGGCATGCAAGCCCCTGAGTCTCAGGAGCTGAGGGGCATGGCTGCCAGAGCACGGGAGGGCCAGGCACAGGCGCCACCCTCCCTGCAGCCCCCAGCCGGTGTCCTCATCTGTCAGAGGGCACTGCCGTGCTTTGCTCCCTGACCTGGCCCTGCGTGGGAAGCTGGTGGGTCCTGAGGCATGGAAGGGAGCATGGGGTGGGCAGGCGGGAGGGAAGCAGGGGGCCTGCCATGGGGGACCAGGAGGTGGGGACGCCCCTCCCCACTCCTGTCCCCTCTGCTTTGCTGCTTCTAGAAGTGCCTGCACCGGCCTGCCCCCTCTTTGAAGGGACAGATGTCAGGGAGAAAGCTGATTATTGTCAAAGGCTGGAGGCTGTGACCGGAGATCTCGGTGAGCGTGACCCAATTCTGAGCTATTCTCAGCCTGGTGGGAGCCAGTTATTCCCTCCCGCCAACGCCACCGCTTCGGAGGCGGCCTGACTTTGAAACGCCCTCGTCCTGGCTGACGGGCTGGGCCACGCAGGCTCCCCTGGGCACGGAGGCTCCGCGTGGGGAGGGCCCGTGGGCTGGCAAGGCCACTGCTGGGGCAGGGCAGCAGGCTGGCCCCACTGTGCCCCTCCTTGCTCGCTGATGAACCACAGTGGGTCGCAGGGCCCAACCCACTGGCTCTGGGGTCCACACGCCCCGGGACCCAGCCTGTCTGCCGCCAACCCATTGGCCACCTGGGGAAGTGACTTCTCTCAAGGCTCAGTTCCAGTGTCCAGGAGCGGGCCGTGCGTAGAGCCCCTGGGACAGAAAGGCCCGTCCACTCCCCCACCCCACAGCGACCCAGACCTACCACACAGGGTCCAGGCCACTGCCGCTCCCGCATCCAGACCTCGCCCTGCACTGTGTGCCCAGATCTGGGTCTGGCTCCTGGGAGCCCTGAAGGGCAGGGGCTGGCACGTGGGAGGCACTCAACCCATGCCTGCTGGTGACAGCGCCCACCCTCTGTGGCTGGTGAGGACAGGGCGTGAGGCCCGGCAGTTGCTCCCTCCCTCCTGAGGGCATCAGGAGCCAGGCCCCTCTTTGGGGACCCTCTTGCTCAGGGCCCCTCCAAGCTGGCGTGTGAGCCCTACAGCCCCGAGGCTGTGGGGGCACTGAGTCCAGCGCTCACCCTGCTTAGAGCAGCTCTGGAAACAGCACTTGCCAGCCCAGAGACTGGAGGTGCACCCTCTCCATCCACCACTTCTGGGGCACCACCCACCCCACCTGCGGGGCTTGCCCTCCCTTCTCCAACGTCCCCCTGCACAGGTGTCTCCTGAGGAACCTTCCAGGACTCTGCCTGAAAACTCTGCTCTCTAGGGTCATGCACTGGGGAACCACTTATGGCCAGGATTCCAGAGTCGCAGCTTTGTGCCTCGGTTTCCCTACCTGTGCAGTGACCCTAGAGGGGGGTTGGGGGGGCTCGGGTCCCCTGGCAGCCCACCTACCCTCCATCTTCTGGGCCAGAGGCGGTGGGTGGAGAGAGCAAAGCCGCAATGGAGGCAGAGGGGGCAATGGAAGGGGGACAGCCCCAGACTTCGACTGCAGGGCTGAGGGCCTCTTGGGTCCTCAGGGGCAACCCCGCCTCATCACATTCTGCTAGACAGGGTGTGCCCCCAGCGGCCTGCTGCCCTCCGCCCCACTCAGAAATCCTGTCCTGGTCCCCACCCGTGCAGCCCTGGTTGGGCCCAGCCCTCTGGGGCTCCTGGGTGAGGGGCTGGACCCTGTGGCAGGCATGGTTGGGGCAGAGGGAGGCCCAGGAGCAGCTCACACCCTGGGGCTTCCTGAGGGAGGGGGACTTTAACCCTGGCTCTAGGGCAGTACCCAGGACTGGGACCCTCCAAGCAGGTGAGTCAGGGCCAGGGCCTGGGACCTTCCAGGGCGTGGGCAGCCGGGAGTCATGTGCCACTGTCTCAGTGCAGGACAGCAGGGCGACGGGGGAGGAATTTCCAGGGAAAATCTGAGGCCCAGGCGAGTACACACTGGGCCAGGGAGGGCGTTTCTGGTGAATCCTTGCCCCATGATGAGCCCGTGCTGCTGACTCGAGCTGATCATCGGGGCCTGCTGATGGGTCACTCACGGCCACGGGCCCAGCGCTGCCCCTGAAGTCAGGCTCCCATCACAGAACTGGGCTGTGCTCCTCTGCTGTGGGGGCTCCCTTGGGCCATGGTGTGGAGGACTCTCCCGCCTGGGCATTAGCTGGTCTGGGGAAGCATGCTGAGGAAAGGACATTTGAAGGGGTCTGGAAGGACATACAGGAGTTCAAGGCTGGCTCAAGGCCAGGTGAGGATCCAAGCTGAGGGAGTGGGGGAGGCCCAGCTACGTGGTGGGCGGGGGTGGATGCCTGGAGGCTCAAGGTCGCCATGGGGGCCTGTGTGCAGGGCAGAGCAGCAGGGCAGAGAGGATTGAGACAGCGACTCTGTCCCATGTGACAACTAAGGGTGGGCTGGGACAACTAAGGGTGGATTCCGCTCTCCATGTGCGGATCCTGGTGACTCACCCAGGGCCGCCACATGGGCTACCAGTCCTGGCTGGAAAATGGGCACAACCTGGACCCTACAGTGCCTGAGGCTTACGTGTCCTATAAACCGTGGAGCTGCGCCTCAAAGAAACACCACCCGGTGTTCACCTGTCAGTCAGCATGCAGGCCTCTGCTGTGGCCAGGAGGGGCAGGGCAGGCTTGGGGGGACTGAGACCTCGGGGTGTGAGCTACCCAGTTCATGACACCCCAGGCACAGCCTAACCCCAAAGCTCCTGGCATTAGGGTCACCCACTTCCATGTTGAACCTGACTGGGGGCCCCTCCTCTGTGCCCCAGGTGAGGAACAAGGTTAGAGGGAAGGCTTGTGTCCTGGAAGGAGAGGACAAGCTGTCAGAACAGGGCTGAGCAACTCTCAGGGGCACAGGATTCCCCGACCACATAAGCCACAGCCCCCAGTGACCCACAGTGTGACACTTCATGGGGACCAGGCGGCCTGGGGTGGACCCTTCCTTCAGGGGCTCATGCAAGTAACCCAGGCAGCCACACTGAATATTCCAGCCCGGGGCTGTGGAGGAAGGCCCAGCACTCCTGGACCACCCCAACCCCAGGGACAAGTGGCCTTTTCTGCAGCCAGATGGGGATGGCCACACATCTGCCCCTTTGTCCTGGAGTCTGGAGCACCCGTCACGCCAAACCAGGATAGGCAGGAGCAGGGACCGGGGCAGAGCACAGGCAGGGCTGGCCTGGACAGCGGCTGGGGGGGCCTTGGCCGCTCGGGATCACGCAGCACAGAGGGCACGGCACGTTTATTGCTCATCACTGACACTCAGGGCCAGGCGCCTGCCAGCACAGCACTCAAGGCCCCTACAGCCGCTGAGGCTCCCAACTGCTGCTGACTCCATGGGCTGAACCCCAGGCCCCCTAGGCACCAGTGGCAGCTCCAAGGACCCCATGGCTGACACAGGCACCGGTCCTCCCTTGAGGCTGTCACACACCAGGGTGGGCGAGGAGAGCCCCCCAGCCTGGGCGTCCCACCCTCTGTCCCCGCTTTGGAAAATGCCCCCTTAGCCTTTGAGAGGTGTTCACATAGGCACTGTCCCTGGAAGGTGTCCTGGACACACCTCCCCAACCCCACACTGTTGTCCCGTGGGGGGGCCTCCTCCATGCCCCTGACTTCTGTGAGGGGTAGGGGTGCCCACATAGTTCCGTGACTCACAGGCTGGCACTCACACCCCAGCCCCGACACGCTTGCCTGGTCGCCTGTGGCGAACAACCCGCTCTGCTGCTCCTCTCCACAGCGCTGCCTGGCCTGTGTCAAGGGGCTCTGGCTGGGTGGGGGCTGCCCCGCCTCTTGGACTTGAGTGGACGCAGGCCTGGGCTGAGCCCAGTGCTGTGACGTCAGCCTGAAGGCCAGAGAGCAGGGTCACCTCCCTGGTTCCTGGGCTGGCCTGGTCTCCTAGCACTGGGGAGAGCAGGGCAGGGATCCTGGTCATCTCACCCCAGCTTCTGGCCCAAGCTGGAGCCTCAGCCTGGGAACTGGAGAAACACGAGATGGTCTCAGGCCCTGTGGGGCAGCCAGGGCCGTGGGGGCTCAGGGGTCAGATGCAGCATGACCTCGGGGACAATGCCCCCTCCCTCCTCCACCCCCTTCCTGCTTAGGCCCACCTGGGAGGGGGTCAGACTCCCCCACCTGCACCCTTTGGCCTCAACATCCAGGGGAGCCTGTGACAGTGGAGACTTCATATTGGCAACAAACAGCAGCTGGGATGGGCCGCGGGACTGGACAGCAATGGCTGAGGCCCAGCCCCAGCACTCCTCCTCCATCATAGCCACCCCTCCTGCCGTCCCACTCTGGCCACCCAGGAGGCCCCCAAGCCCCGCCCCACCATCTGTGTCTGGCAGGCATCGCAGACCATATAAGGTGCCTCTGGCCTCCCTGCCCAGCCCTTCGGTGCTCCCAGCTCCCTGATGCCCTGGGTGGCGGCCCCCTAGCCTGGGGTCTTGGTGGCGAAGGTCAGGTAGCCGGTGTGGCCCACGGCCTCCTTCATGGGCGTGCCACTGCGGAAGGGGCCAGTGTCGGGGCTGGCAGGACCATCTGTGCCCGCGCCCAGGTCGGGCAGTGGCAGGCTGACAGTGCGCACGTTGTAGACCTGTGGTAGCACCTCCAAGGTGCTCAGCTCCGAGAAGCCACGTGCCGCCAGCGCCTGGCATGTGCGCTGCACCTGCTCGATGCATGGCGAGAAGGAGCAGAAGCGCCCACCTGTGGGAAACAGGACCCGAGGGTCAGAGGGCAGGAGTGGCCTGTCTGGCCCTGGCATCCCTGAACTCCCACCCTAGGGTCTGAGGCCAACCTAAGATGGTCCCAACACAGAATGCAAGCTCTCCAGAGAGCTGGGATGCAGGGCAGAGGGGCCTGGCCCTCAACTGGCAGCCCACCATGGGGCCTGGCGCCACTGTTCATGTCACCCAGCTTAGCCGTACTAGGCCCTCCCACATGCCAGGCACCGGGTCAAGCTTGTGCCGCCATTGTCTCACTTGGCCCACAGTGGGCACTGCTCTCCTGCCTTCCACCGGGCTGCTGGAGCGCTGGGCCCAGAGTAGCTCTGACAGCACAGCAGCGCGGGGCGGTGCGGGGGCCGCTGCTGTCACAGGAAATCAGAGGCTGTCACTGCTCCCGGGAACAGGAGGCGCCTACTGGAAGCACAGCCTGAGCATGACAGCCCCTCCCCTCCGCCTCCCACCAGGGCAGCCGCGGGCTTCACTTGGCCTGGCCTGCAGTGAATGAGAACCCAGCCCAGGTCGGTTCCTGTCCTGGCTGGGAGGACCTGGGGAAGCCAGGGCCGGGTAGAGGTATGTGGCCCAGACAAATGTCCTCAAATGTCCCTGAGGCTTGGTCCCCTCAGGTGTACCCTGACACGAGGCCGCCGGGAGGTTCAGGGTTAGAGGAGGCACCTTCTGTGTGACAATAGCCTAGACAGGGCACCGAGGCTGAGCGCACCGCACCCTCCCCAATGAGCTCCAGTGGCCAGCAGGAGATGCCAGGCCCCTGCATGAGCCCGGAGCCTTTGGACCCAGAAGTGGGAGCTGGCAGGAGAAGGGACAGGTCCCAGAGGCAGGTGCAGGTTCCCCGGGCCACTGTGGAGGAAGGAGTCACAAAGGCAGCATGCGGGACCCAGGAGGGGTTCTGCCAGGTTCAGCCTCCCCGGGACTACAGTCCAGGCCCAGAAGTGTCCCCCGAGCAGGGAGCCTAGGAGGCAGAGCATGGGGATCCCCACAGCTACCCCAAGGCCTCAGCAGAGACCAGGACCCAGGAGTCAGGGCTGGGCCAGAGCCAGCAGGGAATCCCCGGCCATGGCCTTGCTGTCCGTACAGGGCCTCGCCTAGTCTTTGAGGTGGGGCGGGGCGCCCCACACCCCCACCCTCCACCCTCTCACAGTGCAACTCTCAGCAGGGAAGAAGGGGCCCCTGCTGCCTGAACTGCTTCTTCTCCAGAAAAGGGAAAAACCTTGGCCTCCCAGTCACCTCCCTGGCTTGAGGCCCGACCTTCCCCAGGGCTGCCCCGCCTCCGCACCCAGCATCTTCCCTAAAAGGGGCCAGCTCCCTGGGCTCCAGAGCTCGTGGGAGGAGACACTTCGGGAAACAGCATGGGCAGGGGATTCCACACACCGCCAGCCGGGCCTGCCCTGCACTTGGGTGGCACTGCCACCTTTCCCAATCGGGGGTTGACATCCTCCCCATCGGCCCATCCTCCCCAGCTCTGCCTCCCCTGGCCAGCCTGACCCACTCATCATCTAAGGCCAAGACGAGGCCCCGGCCTAGCCACTGCCATGGTGTGGCTTGGTTTCTGGACCCCTCAGTCCTGCACCCTTGCCCCACCCCCGCCCGGGCTGTACCTCTCCCGGAACCCCTAGTGCACCTTCGACCTTGAGGGCATCCCAGGCGTGGCCCACAGCCTCCCAGGGTGACGGGATGTCCAGGAAGACGGCGTCGGCCACGTGGCTCACGCCAAAGCCGCTGCGGCACACATCCTGGGTGCGCACAGTCACCCAGCGGCCCACACGGTGCTCCTGGAACTCCTCCCGGGCCTTCTCTGCCCGCTGCTGGTGGAACTCCACCGTGTGCAGGTGGCCCGTGGGTGCAATGGTGCGGATGATGGCGTGGGATACAGAGCCACTGCCTGTGCCTGGCAGGACAAGATGGGAAGGGCAAGGCATCAGTTGGGACTGCTCGGGACCCACAGCCTCCCAGGAAACAACCCCCACCTCACCCTGGAGACCCACACAGTGCTCAGGAGGACCCCAGATTACCGGCGGGCGTTACTCCAGGGCTGTGTGGTCCCCGCTGCCTAGAGCCCCGGGCTAGCCTTGGGTTGGGCGCCCTGTCTAGGGGTGAGCTGGGGTTGACAGGCTGTGTATGCTGTGGTGTCCGCTGTGGGCACAGGCCAGGCCAGTGGCAACCCTGCCCTATCCCGCCTGGCGCATGTATAGGGACTGAGAGCAGCCCAGCTGACTGGAGCTTCAGGGGAAATCTGTGCAGGCGGAACAGAGAGGCCCATCCCATCGCTCAGCCCTGTCTCCTTCCAGGCATGACCAATCCCTTCCTCAGTCCCCATCAACAGTGGCCTACCCTGCCCGTCCTCATGCCCACCTCGCCCCAGAAGCTCCTTGGTCCCCTTGAGACAGCCCACCCCACCAAGCCTGCCTAAGCCTGACCCCACCACACGGGGGCTGGGGCTCTGCCGTGGCCTGGTTGGACTCAGGACGCAGGGCCTGGCCATCAGCCACACAGCCTCAGTCCTCCCCAGCACACCTGCCCCAGCTTCCCTCCGGATGGCCCCTCTGCTTGACTTCCTGTCCCGTGGAAAGGGCCAGGGCCTGCGTCCTTCCTCCTGCTGCACCTTCAGGGGTCATCTACCTGATGCCACTCCCATCCCCAGGGCCCTCCACTCGAGACTCCTGCTAGAGCAGCTACTGCACACTTGCTACCCATCCCTCGAACCCAAATTGCATTGAACATCGCAAGTTCTTGGGCCAGACCCATAGAGGTGCTTCCACTCCCTCTGTCCCATCCCACGTCCTGCCACCTCCCACATTCTTTTTAGGGAGCAGCCCTTCCCCTAAGTGCTCCTAGTCTGCTGCCTATTCCCCCCCGCAGAGCCTGGCCATGCCTCCTTCCCACTCAGGGGCAAGTCAGACTTGCTGGCCTCTGGGGTGGAGCTCGCCTCCCCTCCAACCTCACTCCCAGCACCTCTGCCTCCCCCACTGAGCCTGACTCAGCAGCACACTCCAACGGCAGGGCCTCAGCACGCTCCTCCTTGGTGGTGCTGTCCCTCGGCTCTTTGCAAGCCCCTTCTCATCATGTTCAACTCAAATGTCCCCTCCTCAGAGAGGTCTTCCCTGCCTGGCCTAGCTGGAGGGACCCCACTCTGGGTCCCCCTCAGACACGCAGCCCTGTCTCACAAGTTTCATAGTAACCAGTGGCACTGAGCTGCTCACCCAGGCTGTGTCCCCGCTCCTCGAGGGCAGGAACCTGGTCTGTCTTGTTCACGGTTCCGAGGAGGGGACCTGGCATATCTGAGGAGGCCAGGAAAAGCGTGCTGCTTGATTGAGCTCTCTCGCGAGAGTGGGGCAGGGGCGGAGAGGCCAGCACCCGCCACAGGATGCACAGGAGCAGCAGCTGATGGGATTGGCTAAGTCCTACTCTCCATCCCTCCCACCCAGACACCCCAGAGAGGGACACAGTGACCTACAGCCCTCAGAAAGCCAGCATGGCCGTGCTAGGCACTCTTCGTGAACCTGAACCCTAGCTCTCCTGCCCGTGAGGAACATGCCACCAACAACCTAGATGCCTAACTGCCTGGGGCCAATCTTGGGTTCAATCACTGCACCGGGCAGCCCCAGCACCTGTATGTGTGCAGGGTTCCCACAGCCCAGGCCCTGGACTCAATGACAATGGTGCTCACATTCATTGGTGGCAGGTGAGGATCTGATCATGGATGAGGATGGGAACACTCTCTACCTACAGTGAGCTCCTTGGGGTAGCCCTGGCCTCTTTCCAGAAGGGGCAACTCTCTCTGCTTCACCATCAGCACTGAGGACTAGAGGTTGACAGTCAGCACCTAGGACAGCACCAAGCATCGAGTTGGCCACACCCCACGAAGGCAAGCAGGACCCTCACTAGAGCACCAGTCCTCCCCAGCTCCCCCTGGTCCATTTACAGCCACCTCCCACTCCAGTTACAGCACCAGCCTCCCAACGGGCTTCCCTGCCTCCACCTTCACTCCCTGCTGTCCGCGTCCGGGAAAGATGTGAAAATAGAAACCGAGGAGCCACATCTGTCTGTAAGAAGCGCAGGCTGGAGGCTCTGACCTCCACCTTTGTGTCAATTTCCGAGTTAAACTGAGGCAGCCTGAGGAACTCACCAGACTCACAGACCACAGAGCCGGGCCGAAGCTCCAACATCATGGTGATGAGGGCGATGTCTGTGGAGTAGAGGATCTGTGTGCGGTGCGGCAGGTTCAGCGTCCAGAGCTCCGGCGTGGGGTGCAGCACGTACACCCAGCCACCTCGGCCGCATGTCACCTTGGAGCCGAAGGGGCGGCCGATAAGGTCAACTGAGTGCCGCAGGACACCATGCCGGGTCTGGGTCTGTGCCCCACGCTGCACACGCACTGCCACCATTGCACCATGGCCCAGTGACAGGATGGCCGTGTCACCCTCCTTGATCAGCTCCTCGTATGCCACGAAGCTCATGGTGCTAATGTCTGGCAAGTGCCAAGGACCTGGGGAGGGGTGTGTGTAGGTATGAGCAAGTCAGGAGGCAGGATGAGGGTCTGGGGTCTAGGTAGAAGGCTTCCAGGCCTACATCCCAGCAGTAGGCATGGGCGGGGTGTGGCTAGTTCAGCCTCTGCAACTGCCTGACAGGGAGCCCAATGGCGCTGCACTCTGGCCTGGCCTCTGAAGCCTTTCTTGGTCTAGGACAAGAGACAGGGACTATGAGCCTAAATCAGAGATGAAAAGACAGAGGCTTGGCAATGGCGGAGGTCGGTCCCAAGGATTTCCGGAGTGAGGACCCGACCCTCCCATCACCCTTCTCCATGAGTCTGACTCCCATTCCCCAGGTGCGAGAGGAGGAAGCGCCTTTCCGAGGTGTCCACCGGGGGAGAGGCAAATGGTCAATGAGGTCACCTCCAAGTCAGGCTTGATTCCTCGCCCCAGTCTTCCCCACAGGGGCTGGGTAGCAGGGTATGACAGAGGGGTAAGGGCTCCCCAGGAAGGGGCTGGTGACTCAGAGCTGGCCGTCCACGCAAACACCGCCCAGCCGGTGCAGAGGCAGCAAGGGGCCAGGCCGGGCCGGCGAGGGCCGCCCATGCGAGGCTGGAGGAACAGGACTTGCCGCGCTCGGCCCGGGCCACTCTCACCCGCGCCTTGCCACCCTGGGCCCCGCGGAGTCTCACCTGCGACGCTCCCGCCGCCGGGGCTCCACACGTGCCTCCGCGACGCGCGACGGGGGCGGCCACAACACTTCCGGCTCCGCGCCCGCTGATGACGTCGCGCCCCGCCTCGCCCCCTCCGCGCACGGGATCCTGGGAGCGCCAGGCTGCCCTTCCCGCCCCTCCCAGAGGACGTTTCCTGGGCGACTTCTTGCCTCATGTGAGCTGCTCTGTTTACACTTGCTGGTCGCTGGAAGATCGAAAGACTGTACAAAATCCACATGGCGGCCGGCCGGCGTGGTGGCTGTCGCCTGTGATCCCGCGCTTTGGGAGGCCGAGGCGGGAGGTTCTTCCGAGCTGAGGAGTTCGAGACCAGCCCGGGAAACGTAGTGAGACCCCACCATCTCTACAAATAATAACAAACAAACCAAAGGTCCCCCCGCCCCGCCGGCCGCGGGTCGCCATCGCACCCAGGCACATTTGAAGGGCGGCAGGAGCCAAGGCCTGGCTGTCACTGCTGTCCCGGACCCCTTTGACAGCCCCTGGGGATGCACCAGAGGGCTGGCCCGTGGCTCACTGCCCAGTCCTCTATGAGGACACTTTGCCATAGACATTTTGTTATTGCAAACTGCTCTGGAAACACCCCTGACTGGGCCCTAAGATGAATTCCAGAAAGGAATCGCAGGTCAAGGGGCCGTCCTAAAAGGCTTGGGCTAGGGTCAGCCAGAGCTCTGTGCAGCAGATGGGGACCTGGAAAAGTCTGCAGTAGTGGCCTTCTGCCCAGGCCCTGCCTCCCCCGACGGGGGCACGTTCTCCTGAGTGCAGAGCTGCTTCTAGGAGGGGGAGGGAGTCATGTATCCCCTCCTAGGAACCAAGGCATAATGAGAACCGGATGACTTGGGCCCACTTTGGAGTCTGGTGAGGAGCCTGAGCAGGAGACTGGAGGAGGTGCTGCTGGAGGACAGGCAAAAAAGGGAAGCGGGAGTGGTGTTCTGTCTCAGCAACGCCATTCCCAGCTGGCTTCTCTGTGGAGTGTGTGTGCAGGGGAGCGGGGGCAGGGGACACAGATTTTCTTCCTCCAGCCCTTAGCTCTCAGGACCAGAGCTTGGAGAGGAACAGAGACTCCCCTACCCAGCCTAGGGTTTAGCCTATGCCCGAACCCAAGCCAGTTAGCAATGACCCTAGGCCACCTTCCCCAGTCACTCAGCCACTGCAGCCTGGTAAAATGAGGTGGCCAGGCTTCTTGAGAGCAAGCTCTGCTCTGGAGCCCTGGCAGCCTGTGGAACACGCTCAACTCTCTCGCCTCTGGGGCAGGCCAGGCCACAGTGTTTGTGGCCCTTGCATTGGCTTCTCAGAGTCCATCATGGAAACCCAGGGTTCCAGCCTCAGCCCCTCTGCGTCCCTGTCCCAGCTGCGGCTGAGAGCCCCCAGGAGTGAGCTGACGAGAGGCCTTCCATGGCCTCCCACTCTGTGGGCTCCTATCCCTGTGGGGCCACCACACTGGCCACCAACTGCCTCTCCCTCTGCCTCATGGCCTCCCTGCCTTCTGCTCTCAACGCTGAGACAACCCAGAGCCATCCGCAGCTCTCCAGCCTGTGTTCGAGCGGGTGCTTGTCTCCCTTGATGGTGCACCCACCTGAGTCACCCCCTAATTTCTCCCCTGGGGGATTCTGACTTTCCACTTCTCTTGGGTTTCTCTTCCCCAGCCTCTCAGCTGTGGTGTGGAGTCAAGGCCAAGTGCCTATAAGGGCCAAAGTTAGGACTTGGTGACTCGTCGGTGGTTTCCCTTGGTTCCAACTTCCGACTTGCCTCTGTCCATTATGGCTGGTCAACTCCTCCAGTGCCGCTTCCTCCAGGCAGCCTCCTCAGCCCTGCTCACCCGCTCCATCTGAGCCTGCCCCAGTCCCCAGCCTGAGTCCTCAAGCAGAACCACCGCCTCTACCCCAGCTGATGAGCCCCTGTGCAGAGTTTGTGCTGGGGCTCCCCTAACAAGAGCCGATGCTGTGGATGCCCAGCTGTGTCATCGCATTGAATTCTCCCCAGGATCCTAGGAGGGAGGGAACACTTCACAGATGGGGAAACTGAAACTCAGAGAGCTTAAATAACTTGCCTAAGGTCACAGCCAGTGAGGTCAAAGTGGGATTAGGATTTAAAGCCAGTCAACCCGCAAAGCTCAGCACTGAGGAGGCTGAGGAAGGAGGACTGCTTGAGGCCAGGAGTTGGAGTTCCACCTGGACAACATAGCAAGACCCCATCTCTTAATTAATTAATAATTAAAGCCAGTAAACCAGCTTCAGAGAACCAATGGCTGATTTGAAGAAAGGTGGGAACAGGTAGGAAGATGTCCACTGGGGAGGCTGCTCTGCCCAAATGCCTGGCAGGGACCACGTGACTGCAGTCCCTCCTCACTGACCAGCACAGCCTCCTACCCCACTGTGTTCTGTGAACCCCAGTCAGCCCCTGTCCCTCTCTTGACCTCAGCCCACTTCCTCTTTGGGTTCTGCAGAAGTCAGCGGCAGGGCACTGGGAGGAAGCAATGCTGCCTCCGGCTGTCCTCTGGGAGCAGACTCCAAGAATGGCTCCCGGTGCCTGCCTGCAGCCTGCCCTGGGCCTGCCCTGCGGAGCGGGCTCATGTTCTGTGGATAAAAGGCCTGGGCCTCCTTCGAAGCCCCCTCCAGGCCCAGTGGTTCATGTGTAACCAGGTGTGGTTTCTGAGGAACGTGGACCAAACACTGGCCTCGGAACGTCATCCAGCCTCCTGCCTGGATGCTGCTAAAGCAGCTCCTGTGGGCCCTGGGGAGAGCAGGGGTCTGCAGACAGGGGAGTCAGCTGGAGGGGAGGCTGCCACCTTCCAGACCCCTCCCCTTGTGCCCCTGCTCTGGGGGCCACTAAGGCTCCCAATCAGCCCCTGCCTGGGGTGTCTCACCCTGACATTTGTGTCTGAAGGCCTTGAGGGCCACCTCCCCGCTGTCATCTGCTGCTGCTGGCCCCATCACAGCTGCCTGGCCCCCTGCACTGTCGGTCTGCCCAGTA